TCCCTCTGGATCAATAATGAATCTATTTATTAAACATTTTAGTGACAGACTTTTGCAAAGATGTAGCTATATTATTGATCTAACTTTAACAAATCTGTGATTACAGGTGTGAAGAAAGGTCGCCAAGTTTTGGAAACAGAATGGGGTGCCAATGCCGGAGCGCCGTGGAGGAGCACGGAGGTCTGAAGTAGGGATGTAAAAAACTATGAATTTTCATGACCGACGACCGGGCCTCATTAACCGGTTGAAACCGGTTAACCGCGTAGTTTAAAATAGTCCACGTTCTTTGAAATAACAGCCATTTCGAGCCGCGTACTTTTCATAAGTGCAGCTCTGCGTTCTACTGGATCAGAGCCGAGACAGCGGCGCCCAAACCCGCAACAGCTCCGGCACCTTTGCGCACAGAGAACTGCTTTTTTAATCTTCCCATTCTGCTATGCTGCGGGTTAATACCAGAACTTTCTAGCAGCAAACGACGGCTCGTTCACATGGTCAGAGCAGCGAGTGACGAGCCGCGTCTCACAGGTCTTCACAAAAGTTTAAATACAAGTGATGTGTGTGGAGCTGATCCCGAGGACCATAAACACAAACATGTTTCCCCTACAGCAAAACATGTAGGGGAAATACGCGACTCCCAAAAGGAGCCGCGTATTTGCGCGAATCCTTTGGGCTCCGTGACACAGAGGAGCGCGACAGACCGGTATGTGTGTGTGTATGTATGTGTGTGTGTATGTGTGTGTGTGTGTAAATGTAAGCTCCAATGTAGTTCTGACCCGCGCCAGTGTGCAACTTTGACGGTAAAAGAGGGGAGAGATGATGCGTGTGGATGTTACGCATGGAGAGGGGGAAAGTGTGTGTGTGTGTGTGCGCGCGCGTGCATGTGTGCATATGTGGCTCGTGCGGCGTGAGAGTCGTCCCGGAGTTTATAATACATGGGCGCACACAGCTAGATACAGACCCGCTCGTCACACCGTGCAAATAGGGCTTAAAATAGCGTTATTAAGAGACCTCCCCTCTCCCCTTTTTCTCTTTTTTAACCGACAGCTTTGACCGGTTAACGCTGTGACGGTCAACCACCGGTTAACCGGTCGCCGATTTACATCCCTAGTCTGAAGAGAGGGCAGCTCAGAGAGAAGCCATCAGAGCACATCCAGACTTTCACCTGCAGAGCCAGTCATTATGCGCGCAGAGGAGAGGAAAGTACCTTCCTGTTGATCTGAACGTTAGGAAGATGCATAGTTCCACAGTCAGAATGAGCAATCTAGTGCAACCTAAATCTGCCATTGGACAGACTTCGGAGTTGTGCGTAATCGTGGTCGTGGTGCAGGTCAGAGAAAAGAAGACGTCCATCTTTACACATGGTTAGAAAATGAGAACAAAAAGGACAGTAACATGGTGGCATCTGCTTTGCAACATTATCGGAGTCGTGTTGCTTGTAATGAACTTAGTCACCATAAAGAACTCAGACTATTTTCTGATTCTTGCTATGGGCAAAATAAAAATGTAAACATGCTTGCTATGCTTTTTTCTCTCAAAAAGCACACACTAAAAAACGTATGAATTGAATAAACATTCCCTGTACATGGGCATAGCTTTATGCCCCCTGACTGTGTCTTTGGACGACTGGAGCAGGAAATTAAGAAGAATATGTGAAGATTATGGAAAAAACATGGAAACGTACACGTTTATGGACAACACTGACAGTGCTGTGACTTTAAAGCTGCTGCTGCAAAACATTGTACCTCATCTCATTTAAAATAAGTGAAGCCAAGGTTTTGGAAATCATTGGGGACAAAATAGGCTTTAAGCCGCTGTATGGTGGAGATTTCTGTTACCACAGTCTTTTGAAACGTGGGAAAAGGTGAGAGACCTTCACACCAGCACTGGCTCAAAGAGTAAGCTGTGTGAAGGCAGATAAAAAAGCCAATGTCCTGAAACTCACAAACTTTGAGAGGACAAATGAATTAATCAATCTGAGCCCCAGTCTAATATGAAGCTACAGCTGCTTTTTTGGTTTAATTTACATGTTTTGTCCCAATAGTCTTGCCAGTTGCTATTTTCCCCTTTGGACTGTGAGCTGATTGTCATGAGTGAGGATGGTCCTTTCTCTTTCACTGAAGAACCTGATCTAAAGATGACAGAAACCAAAAATACATGCAGGTGAAATCAAACCAAAATCTACAGGACTGTTACATAGTTATTTTTTCTGGTTTCAAAGTTTTAATAAGCCATAATGAGATAATAATGAGTTAAAAACACTAAATGTTGCATCATTTGTTTTGTAGTGCACTAAAATTGCTCCAATGAAAGTTGTTCTTCTACATAGATTGTTTACAAGTTTGCACTTTTTAAATGTTGCCTTGACCTCGTGTTTTCAAAGGTGATTAAATATTGTGTTACAGTATCCAAATAACTTGAATGTGCTGTCACAAGTGACAAAGTGACAATACATTTAAAATGTTTTAGTAATTTTGAAGTTTGTTTTAAGAAAAATCTATTATATTGGTTCATTCAAAGATGTACAGGCTTAATCTATGTCCTTAATTTAATGTAAACGCAATCATTGCAGAGTTAACCGTTTTTGACAACAACAAAACGATTGTTGGATTTATCTGCTTTTGTGCACAAATGTTTATGTTAAATTAAAAATATATATGATAAAGAAAGTTGTTTTTTCAAATGTCTACTTTAAGTGTTTATTCCTTTGTTGAAGCCAGTAAAGTTTACTAACCTAAGTGTTACCATAAGGTTAAAATATATTGACAATTCATAAAAACGGAGATATCTGCTTTTGCAAATGAACATGTATTTGTGGCACTTTGAGAACCGCTAACCTAGGTGTTTGTCCCGCGGGTTTGTTATTATTGTATTTAATGTGATCAAACTGTTTGATTCTCTGATCTGTTGTTGGTAAATCCACAACTGTGTAAAGTCTCCGAGACGACTGCTGCTGTGATTTAGGGCGATACACATTGAATTGAACTGTGTTGTTCCCGGTCGGGGGCTAATGCTAATGCTAATGCTTTATCTAACAAAGGATTAAACATTCTAGAAAAAAACATGAAAATAGACAAAACATGAGGCGAAGTGCAATCGTGCAATAGCTCCATTGTGTTAATATTAGGGTTAAAGTAAACAGATGAATGAATGTCCATTGAACAGACAGTAAAAGATGCTAGCGGCCTGTGGCTAATGCTAACGCTAACAGCACTAGCATAACACACACTCACCGATCGCACGGAGCAGGAGCAGCTGCGGTGGTAGAAGGAGCTCTACACGGGGATCATGCAGATGTTCCCTCTGCTCCAATCAGCTGCTGACTTTATGAAGCACAAAGATCAAAGATCGTTGTTAAGGACAGATGCTAGTGGAGAATAAACGATGCTCTCACGTTGGTATCTTTAGCCTCTTGTCTGGGCATATTTATTGTTGAACAACTTGGCAGCACAGGGAGCGTGAGCCATAGAGGAAGTTAGCGACAGAACAACATGACTACATCCTGTAGCGCCTTCAAAATAAGAGCTTCTGTTAGACAGGGAGTAAGAGCGATATAATATATTATTATTTAACACCCCACTCGCTGTTAGCTCACTGGGTAAAACAATACATGCATTTACATACATTTTTACATGCGAAACATTTTCTTTGGAACAACTTTTAGCTTTTGCCAAAAGATCAGCTATCATTTTATCAGTAGGACAATATTCCAAAACCACCTTCCCTGTGGTTACAACACCTATGAGGAAATTATCTTTCACGTCATGTGCATCTTTGTCTGTTAACAGGATTCTTTGTGAGTGTTATTGTTCCTTAGTTGTCTTCGTACTGTTGTGAGATCTGCCCATCTCACAAGTGCAGTAGCTTTGTGAGTAGTGTGCGCGCGTGTGTGTGTGTGTGTCTGTGTGTGTGTGTGTGTGTGTGTGGGAGCGCGCAAAGTGCTGTGGGTGTAGATGCAAACAGGAATGGAGTAAAGTGCGATCATTAAAGTGATTGTCTGGAGTTTGTCAGAAAGAGAGACAGAGAGGTACTTGATTTGAAAAAAACGACGCAAGCTCCCTCCCCCTTCCTTTCTGATTGGTCTACACCTACGTTCACAAAAAAATCAACAAAGATATTTTTCCCAGTTTTGATGCTTGTAGTAGCTCCATTTGAACAATAGCTAGCTACTACAGCCAAAATGTTGGGAAAAATATTGTTTTCCCCTTCACAGCAACAAAAATGAAATTGGAAAAATTCACTAAAAATCAACAAAGATATTTTTCCCAGTTTTGATGGGTGTAGTAGCTCCATTTGAACAAAAGCTAGCTACTACAACTAACTGGGGAAAAAAAGTATTTGTTGATTTTTTGTGAATTTTTCCAATTTCATTTTCATTACTGTGAAGGGAAAACAATATTTTTTCCCAAAAGTTTGGCGGTGGTGGAGACTATTCAGGGGGCGAGGGCGCCGTCCACGGCAATGGGAATGGCTGGTTAAGTTTAGGCATGAATAGGTAATTTGTAATATTTACTTCCGCTTCCGTCCAGATTCAGTATATGATCTAGTCATGGATCTATTTGTAGCATGTTGGTGTGGTGGTGTGGCTGCCTTCAAGGTGCGCCGTGGGCGTCACCAACATAGCTTTTAAATTCGGACGCGCGCATGGCGCGCGCACACGCGTATCTGTCTTTTTGGCATTGTGACAGCGTCTTGTTGTGCTGCCGCCGGACCGGGTCGGGGCTACATGGTCCCTGACCTCCGTGCACCTCAGGCTTATTCACTCAGGTCAGTGCGTTCCCTTGCTTTCCTTGCCATGTTCTGTGGAAGGTTCTAACACAGCGCGTCTCTTGCACAGGTTTGTGTCGGTCTGCCGTGAGCGACCGGGCTGTCTCCTCCCCCCCCCTCGGGCGGAGTGTAGGCTATAGCCGCGCGGTGCGTGTCTGGGATTTCACCCCCCCTGGTAAGTGCATTTTGACCGGGCCCTCTTGGGATCTTTTACCGTGTTGCATCATCCTGACTCTATGCTGGATTTAGATTGTGAGCAGTGTGGGAGCGCGCGTATCACTTCTCGTCCCTTCCCCTCCGCCTGCCCCTCGTGTGCGTACGCAGAGTGCACGCTTAAAGGCGCGGCACAGGTTTGGGGTCTTCCCCGGGTAAGTGCCCTCTGTGTCTGACTTCTGTTGGGTCTTGGACCATGCTGATCTCAAATTTACATTAGATCCTGAGCTGCGTGGGAACGTGCACTTTCCGCCGTGCCTATTCCCCTCCTCTTGCTCCTCGTGCGTACGCGCAACCTCGGTTCGCCGGTAAGACGCCAATAAAGACTAGTTTATATATTATGTAACAACTTCGTCCTGTTTATTTTAGGAACGAGGCGTGTGGCTTACGGCTGTCTTTCAGGCCGCCCCGCTGTGAGGGAGGGCCGTTGTTTTGTCCTCTCTTCATTTATTTTAGTTACTTTATGTATACAATTACAAAGGACAATTTCAGGCACCTCTGACGCCTGGTGTGGCACTTGTTCAAATGCACTAAAGCACAACTCACTTTACAGGCTGCAGTTTGCAGTGAGTTTCGCTGCCTTGTATGTTGTTTTCGCATGTTCCTTTATGTATTTTAGTTTGCTTTGCTTATTATTAATTACAGTGTTTTGACCTGGTTTGCTTTGCATGATTTTGATTTGGTTATTGTTTGTATTGTGTATATTCTGTTTGTGTGCAACTTATTTCCCTGCTACTGTTTGCCTTTAAGTTAATTGGTTGCTTTTGACTTTTGCTCTGTCCCGAAATCAGTGTCAATTTGAATGTGCCAACTTATAGATTTTATCTTTTATACATCTAGGCCTATTTTAACCAGTTGCTGAAATAAAGGAATTTCTAGTTTATTAACACTCCTCTCTTTAATGTCCAACCTAGCGCGGTATTATTCTGTGGGTAAATCAAGAGTGATTCTGGTCCCAGGGCCCTACTCCCTGGGTGGCGTTGTTGGTATTTCTAAAATCTCTAATAAACTGCTCCTGCCACATATTTATAATAACTGGATAGGGTAATACTAGCTTGTAGCTGAATAACCCCCAAAATCTGACCTTTGTGAAAGCTGTAGGTTCTCTGTCAGCTGAGGGTGAGCTGTTTTAGTTTCACATTGAGTTCTATGGGGAAAATTTCTGGGTAGCCCCACGGTGAATTTAGTCTGGTTTAGTCTGCAGTACCGCGAGAATCCCCGAGCACATGGGTTATTCAGCTCCAAGCTGTAATACCTTATCCAGTTAATATAATAGATCCATGTATACAACGCACCTGTGGCACAATCAAGGATCTATAATAATAACTGGATAGGTTATTACTAGCTTATAGCTGTCCCGCCCGTGGTACAGCAGACTAAAATCACTTTGGCTACCCAGAAATAAGGGAGAGAGGGCAAGCAAAGATTTTGGTGGGGATTTAGCGAACTCAAATCCTTCAGGCAACTTCCTTTCCTTCCCGCTGACTCGCGTGGCTCAGGCGCTGTGAGTCACGGCCACTGCACAGAACAGGAGGACCAGCGAGTCAGGGGCCGTGGCTCACGGTTATCAATTTTGCTTTTTAGGGGTATCTGTGGATTATTAATGACACATTGTGGATCTGGAGGCATATATTTACAAGTAATCAGTATGTTACACACTCTTCATCATCTGGTATGTGTTTACATCGCTCTCCATTTACTGTTAACCACTGACTCAGGAGCTGTGAGTCGCGGCTCAGCAGTCAGAAGTCATGGCTCACGGTTAAAAATACCACAAATCTTTGCTTTTTAGGGGTATCTGGGAATTATTAGGGGCAACAGTGACTTAATTGGCAGAGCTTTGGTCTTTGGACCTAATGATCGTGGGGTCGTGCCCCACAAACCACCTGCTCCCACTGAAGCAAGACGCCCCATCGTGGTATCTTCTATACAGTCATGGGACCTCATGAATGAGTATGAGCACAAGTATGTGGAAACGGCACAATACTAATATTGGTATTGGTGCATCCTTTGTAAAATAAACATGACTATGAAAAAAAATTGTCAGTATTAGCAGCGCAGGTTTACAGTCATAGTGCAAGTAGTTGATTTGGTGATATAGGCCTAAATACAGATTATTGCAGGTTTTTGCAGGTTATTGCTTATTCTAATGCAATACAACTTTTTAGGGAGTATATTTATGAATTATTAATGTATATGGGATGAACATTTTCCATGTTATCAGAGCCTTTATAACTACTTTCCCAGCAGGTTTGCGCCCTCTGCTCAGTTGTTTTGAGGAGGGTACGTGGTTGCTTTGAGATGATAAAACCGGGGAGAAGGAAGAGGGTGCGTTCTCAATCGGCAAAAAAAAGCCCCAGACCCTTATGCGCAGGCGCGTTTCACATGTCTCCGCCAACCATAACAATGAACTTTGTAACAGATGACTTATACATTTTTTACATATATATTTTTATCTCTCATTAAATCTGTTTCTAATTGTTATAAATCATGTAATACATTGCCTTTTACAATTGTTTTGAAATGATAATCCTGTATTTCAACCTGTCACATACTCCCCCTCAAAATAGATGTTGTCCCAACCTCAGCATCTGTAGATTACCAAGTAATTACATCCACACAAACAAAAACAAACACTTCCATTTTTTTCTTTTTCACAGACTGGAACTCTTTTCATACATGCTTTGAGTCAAAACTCAACATTGCCAGAAGTGTCCACTTCACTTAACACGCAACAACAAAAAAATACCAAACACGATATATTTCCATTTGTTTCAATTGATGCATGTAAACAACTGAAATCAGTTTCAAAATAAAATGAGAAGTGATCCCAACATCAATAGTTCAGTGTATTTATGCAAAGAATGCACCCCCAACTCTTCAAGCAAACAAAAGTATCAACCATGTCTGTAAAACTCTTGAAAATAAGAAGGATGTACATCATACAACCATGGCATGTTCTGCTCACCATTATAGGGAAATGTCATAATATTGTGACAAGTCGGTGTACCGAGTCTGTCATAGGTAAATACCCCTTGGTTTTTCTGTGGTCAGTCTCGGCGCCGGCCTTCGTCTGGAGAAGGTGGCGGGTCAGGCTCCTCCCAGGCAACACTTCTTCCTGGCAGACATCATCTGGTGGACGGTCTTCTTCAGGTTCTGTCTCTGGGAGTACACCTGCAGGCTGATCTTCCTCATGAAAGTAACCTGACTCCGCAGTCCCCTCCTGCGGGTGTGGCGGGGAATCAGGGCGAGTGTTACGGTGGCGTGGCACTGGATAATACTCTCCCTCATCGTCATCCTCTTCTGACTCAGTCACCTCTGTTCGAGTCCCTGCTCGTTTTGTTGTCTTTTTCTTTTGGCTCCAAAGAAGCCTCTAGAGGCAAGTGGTCACATGGGTAGTAGGAGATTCCGATGTAATGTTCTGGACCTGCCATTGCCTCTCTCAGGTTTCAGTTCATAAACAGGAATATCTTTGCTCACTTGCCGAACCACTGTGTGCACAATGTTCTCCCAGTGGCTTCTGAGTTTGCCTGGACCCCCCCACGTGGAGTCAAGTTCCTGACTAGGACACGATCACCGGTAACAAAGCGGAGTACCTCAGTTTACTGTCATTTAGTCTCTTACTCCTGGTGGCAGCTTTGTTTGCTTTTTGTCGTGTGACCTCATACGCATCTTTCATACCTGTCTCCACTTATGCATGTAACTCTGATGGTCACAGTCACTCTTGCCTGGTTTGAAGTTAAACTAAACAACATGTCCACTGGTAACCCCGTGGTGAACGCCCATAAAGTAAGTAAAAAGGATAGAAAACCCTGTCACCTCACTTCTAGTACAGTTATATGCATACACCATTTTGTTTAGTGAGCCCTTCCAGTCACTCTTTTGTTTCTCAGTCAGTGTTTTAACATCTGAAGCAAAGAGATTCGATTGAATCTCTCAACTTGTCCATTCCCTTGGGGGTGGTAGGGTAGTTGTCCTCGAACCAGCAACCCACAAATACTCCTTTCGTTGGGCAAAAAGTTGGTTCTCAAATTCACCTCCTTGTTCATGGTGAAGTTCAGCGGGAACCCAAACCTTAAAGCCATAATCATTAACTATTTTGTCTGCTGCAGTTTTACCAGACTTGGATGTAGTAGCATACGCCTGGGCAAAACGGGTTTTAAAATGATCAACTATGACAAGAATGTAATTTCATATCCACCCGTACATTTGTCTAAGTGTAAAAAGTCCACAGACACCAGTTCAAAGGCTGGGTGTGTAACTATATTAGTAAGCAAAGTTGGGGTGGGCGAAGCTGGCGCCCTTGTTTCACGGCTTGGCCGTTTGGTTTAAGGCAGACCATTTCCTCATCACATAGTCCTCTATTTCTTTCTGCATAAAAGGCCAGTAAAAACGGTCCCTTACCAAAGAAAATAGTCCTTTCCACCACCATGGTGGCCCATATCATCATGTAGTTCTTTTTAACACCACTGACTTGTGATTTTTTCAGGGAGCACAAGTTGTGACCTGTTTGTAGTTTTTCTGTACAAAACACCTTTCTCACTGAACTGCAACTTGTCCCACTCCCTGAGGAGACACACGACTGATGGGCTAAGCTTTTTGAGTTCTGAACCTGAAGGTTTTGCTTCTGCTAGTTTGAACTGAATAATCTGTCCGACGAATGGGGGATCAGTCTGTTGGTCTAGTTAATCTGTCCAACAGTAAGTGGAGCTATGGGCATGCCTGACAGGACACAGTGGCACACTTACCATGAAATACCCATCGACCAGGCTGCACTGGACTCACCCATGATAGTCAACGGCCTGTGTTGCGGCACACACAGCATCATATGACAGTTCATTTTGAGCATTTTCCCATGTAAGGTTTCTATGTCTAATGGCATCCTAGATAGGCTGTCTGCATCTATGTTCTCTCTACCTGGACGATATTTACGCATTAAAATCGGCTAGTTCTGCAACCCATCCTGCATCCTGTTGCATTTAATTGGCAGTAGACAGAGGAGCAAGGCAAGGCAAGGCAAGGCAAGTGTATTTATATAGCGACAATTCATACACAAGGCAATTCAAAGTGCTGAACAAAAACAAGAAAGCATTAAAATCACATAAACATAACTCACAGAACATTAAAAAGAAAGATACAAATATAAAATCCCTCAGTTGTATGGCACAGGCTAAACAGAACTGTCTTTAACCTGGTTTAAAACATTGTCAGAGAGGAGGCCTGTCTCACATCTCCAGGAAGACTGTTCCAGATTTTAGCAGCATGAATCTGAAAAGCAGCCTCCCCATGTTTAGTTCTGACTCTGGGCACTAACAGGAGTCCAGTCCCTGTGCTCCTCAGAGTCCGGGCTGGCTTCATATGGGACTAACATGTCACTAATATATTTTGGTGCGAGGCCATGGAGAGACTTGTACACAAGCAGAGCTGTTTTAAAGGTCTATTCTCTGAGCCACAGGAAGCCAGTGCAGAGACCTGAGGACCGTACTAATATGGTCGTACTTCCTGGTTCTTTCAGGACTCGAGCCGTGCTGCATTTTGAATGTACTGCAGCTGTTTTACAGCCTGTTTGGAAAGACCTGTGAGCAGGCCATTGCAGTAGTCTAACCTACTGGAGACAAATGCATGGATAAGAATCTCCAAGTCTGCTTTAGACACTATGTTTTTGATCCTGGAAATGTTTTTTAGATGGTAAAAAGCTGCTGATGTTACTGATTTGATGTGGCTATTAAAATTTAAGGTCTGAGTCCAGTATTACCCCTAGATTTCTGACCTTGTTTGAAGGTTTTAGGGAGAGAGACTGTAGGTGACAGATGACGCTCTCTCTTTGTTTCTGGGGACCAACAGACAATCATTTCAGTTTTGTCTGCGTTTAGCTGAAGGAAGTTGTTTTGCATCCACTCACTGATCTGTTGGATACAGTGAAGGAGTGAGTCCCCTGGTCCATGTTCTCCTGCAGTCAGTGAGACATAGATCTGAGTGTCGTCTGCATAGTTATGATAGGAAACTTCGTTTCTGCGTATTAACTGACCTAACGGCAGCATGTAGAGAATTGAACAGAAGAGGTCCCAGGATCGACCCCTGTGGTACTCCACAGTCAGGGCCATATGATCTGAGACACAGTTTCCAATCTCCACCAAAGTACTTCCTGTCCTCAAGGTAAGACCTAAACCAACTTGGGGCGGGTGCCAGCGACTCCAACCCAGTCCCTCTAATCTCTGTAAGAGGATCTCATGGTCGACGGTGTCAAAGGCACGCACTTCAGATCTAACAAGATTAAGATTGAGACTTTGCCTGCGTCAGTGTTCAGCCGGATATCGTTTGTAACCTTGACGAGAGCAGTCTCAGTGCTGTGGTGGGGTCTAAAGCCGGACTGAAACATATCAAATGAGTTGTTGATTATAAGAAATCTAGTAAGGCTGTAGGTAGGACACACTTTTTCAAGGAACTTTCCCCATAAATGGCAGATTTGAGATGGGACGATAGTTGTTACTGCAGTTTTCAGGGCCTTTGGGAATATTCCAGAATGAAGGGACATGTTTACTATCTGTGTGAGTGAAGGTAACAGACTGCTCAGAACAGACTTCAGAAATCTAGTGGGTAGTACATCCAAGCTGCATGTGGAGGAGCTCAAACTGGAGATTATCTCTTGGACAGTTTTATCATTTACAGGTGCAAAGTGAGTTAGCTCAGAGAGCCTTTCTGGCTGTTGGATGGTTATCTGTGGATTGGAGACAATGGCGTTTTTGATGCCTTTAACCTTGTCATTGAAAAAATTAGCAAACTCATTGCATTTACGTTTGGAAGTAAGCTCTAATGGCATTTGAACAGGGGGGTTTGTTAATCTATTAACTGTTGAAAACAGAACACGCAGATTGTTGCTGCAGCCTTCAATCATTTCAGAAAAATACCTTTCTCTCGTACTACGTAGCACCCGGTTAAACTCGCACAACTTATCTTTGAAGATCTCGTAATCAACCTGGAGGTTGGACTTGCGCCACTTCCGCTCGGCCCTCCGGCACTTTCTCTTTTGTGCCCTGACCGAGTCTGCTTTAGCCCACGGCGCCTTCTGCTTATTTTTCACTATTTTAACCTTCACAGGGGCAACGGTATCCAGAACATTCAAAACACTAGAGGTGACAGAGTTAAACAGTTCATCTACAGTAGAATACGATGCATTCTCAAAGTTTATCATTCCCATAAATAGTTCACTCGTATTTTCATTTATGTGTCTTCTTCGTACAGTTGCAGAGTCCACTGGTGGTTTGTTAGTGAAACACATGTATAAAAAAAAACACAGAAATGATCCGAAAGAGCAACATCGACCACGTTTACATTTGAAATATTCACCCCCTTAGTAACTAACCAAACTATCAAAATCTGTGCATACAACTGAAAGCAACTCGGTAAAATTATCAATAAAACTGTGACATGACTGCGGTGGCTTGTATAGGACAATGAAGAGTATTGGAGGAGATTGTTTTTGTTGTATTTTAAAAGACACATATTCAAAAGACGAAAACTTCCCAAGAGACATTCTATGGGAGACAAAGTGGTCTCTGAAAATGGCAGCTAAGCCTCCTCCTTTTTTGTTTTCCCGTATTTCAGATTCAAACTTGAAATTTGGTGGTGATGCTTCTATTAAAACTGCATTTCCTGAATTTTGGTCAAGCCAAGTTTCAGCCATGAACATAAGATCAAGATTATGAGAACCAAATAAAATTCTTGATTAAAAAAGACTTGTTACAAAGAGATCTGACATTTAGCATAGCAAGTTTCAAAGTTTCAGGATCAGCGGTTGTGGTCGGCTGATTCTTACACGGAACAAGAATTAGATTTTCCTGATTAGACTGATTAACTTCAGATGTTTTTCTGTTATGTATTCTTTGTGTTATCACTAAGGGAATGGCACAGGTGGCTTCATGACAGGGCCCCAGCCGGGTCTCTCCTCTAACTAGACTGCCAGTGGCTGCGAAGCAGAGACCCTGTGCATCCTAGTGTTTAGAGAAAAGAAGTATATACCTTTATACTTTCATAAACACATTTCTAAACATTTGACCCACTCACACATCCTCACAGTTTCAGTCTGGACTCTTCCTTTTCTGGTACTTGGTCTTACTCATAGTAATGTCACTGGTGACACATGTGTATCCATAGCAACATGTGACATAATAAGTGACATCCTTTCACAGTAATTAACCTGAAATTAAC